TATATTAGTCACACCTCTTTACAATCACGGTTTTTTGTATCCCAAAGGTGTGACTATAGAGGGGTTTGACTGTATATTATTATCATTCGGTTAATTAAAATATATAACATATCGGCCCATTAATTTTTTTAACTAGCTATTACGTGTATAACTAGGTTGCGGTCGTTATGGTAGGAACTGCTGGGATAGGATATATTACGTGCAGAGAATTGGCCAAAAAAAATGCACATGTGTTCATATTAAGTCGTAATATCGAGAAAGGTCAGACAGCAGTTGAAAAAATCAAATCCGAGACTGGTAATCGAAATGTGAAATTTTACAATTGGATTTAAAAGGCTTGGAATCTGTTAAAGAATGTGCCAAAAATTTTTGGCTGGAAATTTACCATTGCACATCCTGTAAGTTCTATTATTTATGATTATTATACAATATAAGTTACAAATTTATCCTAATTGATTGATCATTTTTATCAGAAGTAACAATGCGGGATCACTACAAAGTAAGTAACAGTGTTATTTTTTTCACTTGTAGCTATAATAATATTCGAACGAATAGTGCATTTTCGCTTATTGAGGATGGTATTCAAGAAGAATTTGGAGTAAATCATGTAGACCATTTTGTAAGCAAACAAATAAACTAACAATAACAAAATTTTTATGTATTGGTAACTTTTCACCAAATTATTATTGCCAAAAATTAAAGCCTCACAATCAGCACGTATAGTAAATCTTAGTATAGATTTGTTCCTGTGGGAGGAATTGAATTCGAGAAATTAAATAGCCAAAATGCATTTGATTCAATGCCTCGTTATGTTCAATCAAAACTTGCAAATATTTTTATTTACTAACGAATTGAATAAACGATATCTTGAAGACGAACAAGTATATGCTAACTCTCTTCATGCAGGTATAATAAAATAATTTTTTAAATTTAATTAAAACAACTATATTAATTAACCACTTAATTAATCAATTAATATTGTTATTTATTTAGGAATCGTGGTTACAAGTATGTTAAGAAGGAATGATTTATCTGTACCAGAAACTTCTGTTTCTGCTTCAATCTCACCTGATGATGGAGCTATTACTACAGTGAACGATATTCATTTGCTGAAAATGATGATTTGGCTATAAGGCTTTGGGAATTTATCGAGAATTTGATAAATAAAAAATGACTACAATATTGATTGATTTATTTATTATGTAACTTTTTCTGTTATAAATACATAGCTAATTAACTTATCATTAAGCAGTTGATATCTAATAATAATTTTTAGCGTAAATTTTAGCCTTTAAAAATTTTTTTTTCCAATTTATACAGAGAGATTTGCATCATTTTAGATTATTGTATGACTTTATTTGCAAAACTGGAAACTAAAGGTGTTCTTTAAAAGTTTAGGATGATTATATGTAAAACATAAAAACATTACAAATTAGCAATGATTATGGTTAAATAAGGATGAGTGTAAGAGTAAGAATAAAAATAATTTTTATTTTTCTGTGATCATACAAGGGTGCTTATAAATTAATAAATATACAAAGAAATTAATTCAT